GAACAACCTGGCGACGTCCGTCCGCTTCATGCCGAGGTAATAGTAAGCGTACAATGCATGCATCACGGTGTTCCTCGATGAATGCTGTCTGCGCACAATGTCGACGATCATTCGCACATTACCCAGAAGGGGGGTAACTATACTGGCGTTTGTATAGTATAATGAAGTCAGCATGAAACAATCGATAGATCAATTTGGCTGATCGACTCACAAGTCCAGTTTTCGACTGAAACGACAATACAACCAGTACATTGTCCTGCATCCGCATAACATTTCACTTTGAGCCACCCTTAACAGCCATCATGTCCGACGAGATGCAACCAGACGCCTTCTCCTCAGCACGGAAATGGTGGAGTGGTCCCGACGATCTAAGCCTCCTCACACAGGTCAACAATGACCTTCCTTTTAAACGTGCTAAGAACACTGCCAAGGCATGGGACAGTGTTGCAGCCAAGCTGCTGCAGGTACCATCGTTTGCAAGAGGTGGCACTCAGGATGCCAGAAGGTGATTGGGTGAATATAGCGGATAGAACCAATATGAATCGGATGACTAGCGAAATTCGATGGTTGTGAAGTTTCATTCTATCCGTGTTCTGAATTATAGATCACACATAATACCGGCGTTTGCGAAATCTGTCTATTAACGCAAATTGCCAACTTTAGCAAAACGTCAAGTTTCAGCCAATCTCATCAAGCCAATCAAATTCAAACATTCCATGACAGCAAAACTTGCACAACGTACACAACTTGCCATAATTCATGGAATGCACATATTATTTGTCATTTCTCACAAACCAATTCGAGTTATGATACGCTGCTTTAATTTGAACGTGAATTTCAGTAATGAAAACGTGGTTGTCGTTAACGAGGGCTGGAATTCGATACATCGACACCCTTCCTTACAACACAAAGTGCAATACAGAATTCCATATAAAAGAGTGTTGGTAATTAATGTGTTTTGTCACCCTTGCGATGGATCACTTCCAAGCAACGGCCCATGCATTGGGAAACGATGATGACATCCCAGTCCAATAAACGCTGGTCATTCTTCAAACCCATTGTAGCCGATTCACCATATGACGCGGTGCCCGAGGCAGAATCTTCTACGTCTTGTAGTACTCGAGGAAATCGCCCATGGATTGTTTCAGGCGTACAGCCTTCAAAGGCAGCCTTTATTCTCTCTCCCCAGTAGTACACGGAACGAGGTATATCCGTCATGCTGACGTCAAACCTCACATTTTACAATTGCCCAAATCAATTCGATAGTTGCAAGTCGGAATGGTAGCGTGGTATGTACACAACGGAATTCCCTCGTGGCTCGGCCATGGCCACCACAACAGGTACGATATTGCTCATGATGTACTGTATTTGTCAAAAATTTCCCACAGGGCAATATTTTTTCTGTCCGAGTTTTAGCGAATACTTCCTCTGTTCGAGTTTACTGGCAACATTTCTTTTTCAAGTGACCCCAAAAATCCATTTTTGCGCCAAACTTGATGAGCCATATCATGTTCAAAAGAGCATGAAAAACTGGAGGTATCCCCTATTGACTGCAAAGAGCGGGGGCGAAGTTTTCGCGCTCAAAAACAACAAATTCAAATTCCTCTCAAATAAAACCCAGAATCAACAGCTCATTTCAACATTCTAACATGCCACGCTTGCAGCGTTTGGCGACTTGGACTCCATGAAGCTGGAGAATGTTTTCCTCACCTTCCAGGCTGTTATGCGGTTGGTCCTGGAGAACAAAGGTGGCAATCAGTTCCGACTTCCTCATCTTCGCAAGGATGCCTTGCGCCGAGCCGGGACCCCAGTGGCCAACGTGTCCTGCCCTTCGTCACTTTTGCTCTGAGCGTGCCGTCGTTTTTAACCAATAACATGCATGGATTTCATTTTTGAGCCAATCAAATTGAAATGTTGCCAGTAAAGTGGTAAAAGTGTGATTTTCAAATGTTGCCAGTAAACTCGAACAGAGGAAGTACCGTAAATGTTGCAACCGTCGCGCAGTTGTGCCTTGACCCAGGCATACTTTGGGGTGTCGTCGGGTAGGTATTTATGGTATTTTGCGTTGTCCAAGACGATGACGACATTCCTTCTCCCAGGGCTTCCAATTGGTCGACATGGTGCCAAATTAGTCCACGAAGTATACATGGTTGAACACGACGTGGTCTTTGGACTCTTAGCTGCGTGTTTTCCCCCTTGGAATATGTCGAGGGCAAGTAGTTTAGAGTGTCCCATTCCGTCTTCCAACATCCCTCCATTAATGCAAAATCGAGTGCGACGTAGTTGTTCGTCGTTTACAGTAGATCGTACAGACTATCTCGGTGGCGAGCGTAGTGTGCTGTACATAGGACTCGTCCAGGCACACAAATGGCGGTGGATTTTGACAAAGATGGTTGAAACCACTTTCTCAACATATTTGTCACAGAGCATTGCAATTTGTTTCGCCAACGAGAAGATCGGCTGACCGCTTATATTACCCCGTTCGGACCGACAAGAACAAACCTGACGCACAGTAAGGCACGATGACACCGCAGCGCGGGGACTTTTGGGGTCAACATCGATAATGTTGTTTTTTGTAATACAAGTAAAACGTCATTTCAACTGTTCTAGTCCTTATCAAGCGGCGGTCCCCAACAAAGGACTGAACGAGCGGGATCTCTTAGGAATGCGAGTTGAATGCGAAAGATAATCGGAAGGTGGCGGGGCCATAGAGACCGCTGATGTAGCATCATTTGTACGGCAAACTCTTTCACAACATACGTGCTCTAGCCGAGAATGCGTGCAATCTGGCCAGATTCACCCTCCACGCCTTCATATCGATGGAGTAGTCTCCGCCTGCCATTTGCCCCAGCAGGCCTTAAGCGAACTCTTATCGCTTGTCAAGATTGTTGCATGTTGCTGGTTCAACGCAGGCCTTATTGTTCGTGTAGAGATAGCCACAAAGTACTCGACTTATCGTTGATGTTGAGAAGTTAACATTGACAGTGCAGAGCACCATGTCTTGCATTTGATTAAGAGGGAACTGGCAGCATGCGTTTAGACTTTGCACCAAGCGCACCGTTATGTCAGAACATACTTTGTACAGTACATGTGTCACGTGGGCCATCACGCTTATCGTGTGCACGCCGACATCGGGGACTCCATTACGTTTGGTAACGTAATGGAGTCCTGCTTTTCAGTCTCTCTCCCCTTGAAATGCCTTGATGGCGCGATGATTTCAGCCCCTGTTGGCATGCTTGCGATTTTGAAACTGGAGTTGGACTCTCAAACGCTCATACCGTCGTCCGATATCATTTTTTTGTCAGAAACCGAAATTCTTGGGGAGAAAACTATTCATTACCACCCGACATGTTAATTTTACACTTTGCCTGCCCAAAATCGGGCAGAAATCAGTACTTATATTCACCCCGTTCAATCAGTCAATTTACAACATGACACTGTGCTGGAATTCCACGCGGATCTTGGGGTTGACGTGCATCAGGGCCGGAACGGACAACAACGTCGTTGTCGTTCCCTTGATCAGCAGGATGTCGGTCAAGGTGAGTGCGACGGGATTGATGTGCTGATCTTGAGCTTGCCCGTTAGGGTTGCCGTGGTGGCTCCGCCGTTGGCGACGATGACCTGGCGGGTGCATGGCGTCTTTGCGTACAAGTGGTCGGCCGCGCCCGTCATGTGTGCCGAGGCGCCAGAGTCGATCACGATGCGGTGTTCGATGGTGTGTGCGTCGCGGTCTACGACCGACAGTGCCATGTCGGCTTCGTCGTCCCTGTCTTCTGAAATGGTGTATCGGCTTCATCGTCATTGTCGTCCCTAGGTTGTGAGGATTCGAAGGACGACTCGGTTTCGAACTCAGACTCAACTTCGCCTTCGCTTCAGGGTGCGGGTTCGGCGTCGGCGGGGGTGTCGATGGGATGGAGGTACATATACCTCCATCCCACATATGTTGTCGTTGTGTGTCCTGGATGTCTTCTGCTTTTGTTATATATATTCTAAAATTCTGTTTATGCCGAGAACCGTAGGTTAGGGAAGAGGAATCCGCTGTCGGCGATATACGTCTCGTATGCCTTGACTCCAAGCCATGGGTAGTACTTGGATTCACCGTGCGTAGTGCACTCGAATGCTCCACGTCGTACTCTGTGACTAGGTACCGACGTCAGAGCCAGGGAGGTAACGTCAAGACGTATGTCAGGTCTTGGATCGGTTGGATTTGAAGTGTCGCGAGGTCTTGGCGGCTTAAGAAGGTCAGGGTGTACGGAATTCCCCCGATGGACAGTTGTCTGACCAGTTTACGCGTAGCTGACGAGTCTGGGATGGTGCGGAGTGGAAGGGCTTCGCCAGGCTCCCCAAGGTAGATGGTTTCTGTGTTGCTGGCATCAACGACGATGGGTTGGATGCCTTCGTCTTCCTTCCATTCGTCGTCTGGGTTGACCATATCTTGGTCGTATCTATTCTCAAACTTGGAGAACATGTCGACCGCTGCGTTGGAGTGGTCTTCCTTGGTGTCTCGCGTCTTGATTCCCTGGCGGCCACTCTCGCGGGACTTCTTGCGGCATTCGGCCTGCCAGTGCCGTGTCTTGCCACAGTAGTGGCAGGTGCCCTTGGATTAAGTGCTCTCGCCCCGTTCGGCATGACCACTTCGTGTTGCGCTGCGTCCTCGGCTCCGCCCACGGCTTTAGTTTGCGCTATGTGCTGCGCCCAACCGTCGCAAACAGGGCGCGATCTTCGTTGGCGTGTCCATGAGGTACTTTGATGACGCCATTCCAAACGGCAGCTTTCGATCTTCGTTGGCGTGTCCATGAGGTACTTTGATGACGCCATTCCAAACGGCAGCTTTCCATTCGGCTTCATGGGCACCCTTCGTCTTGGCGACGGTTTGTTGATCGTCAGGCAACTTCGACAACCTGTCCACAAGGTGTCGGAACTCCCACGGCATCAAGGCAAGTAGCTTCACCACTTGGTTGGCTTCGGACTCACCCGCGCGTACTTCGTGTAGGCGGTGCAACAGTACTAGGAACCGGTAGATGAAATCCAGTGTTTCCTGGCGCGGATCCCAGATGAGCTTGGCCCATTCCATCGCGACTTGGATGCGATCGATGTTAGTTGTCGGCTGATGGTGTGCTACGAGCGCTTCGTAGGCTGTGCGGACATGCTTCATGCCCTCGATGGTGGTATTGGCTGGGCTCGATCGTCTCGATGAGGATCCCCAGTGCCTTCTGGTCGTCGTTGCTTGGTTGCATGCTGAATGCTTCGGTAAGTTGGTCGTACATACCCTTCACCATGAGTCTTCCGCGGAAATAGGCCTTCCAGTCACTGAAGTTGTGCTCGATGAGCTTTAATGTGGCGGTGGTGTTCGCCATTCTTCCTCCTTGTATGTTGCCTGGGTTTTGGGCTCATAATCTCTTGAATTTATGCGTGTGTTTGTGTGAAGGACGACAGCCAGACAGAGGGTAACAGGCAGCAAGCGGTTAGCAAGCGGCTCAGGACCAAGAAGGCAAGTCGAGAAGTGAATTGATGTTAGAGAGATT